GTTTTGCCTCTCCATGTCATCCTTTCCAATGCACCTGCTATGCAGCAACCATTAGTATCCTATGCTGCAGCTCCACATCTCTCTGGGAGTATGCTTCTTGCCATGAAGACATTTCCATTACCTGAGATGCATCCAGGCACCTATGTCTAATCCTGGAATACTGGACTCAGTTCACACCTGGAATACTAGATTCAGTTTTGGTCCCTTCTCTACATGTGGACAGGCTGGAGAGGGTCCAGAGAAGAGCCACAAAGACCATCCAAGGACTGAGAGAGCTGGGACTGTTCAGCTGGAGAAAAGAAGGCTCAGGGGAGACCTTATCCCCATGTTCCAGCATATAAAGGATGACTACAAAGAAGATGGAGACTCCCTTTCGACAAGGAGTCACATGGAAAAGAGGGGTGACGGGCCCAAGTTACTGCTGGGGAGATTCCAACTGGACAGAAGAGGAAAACGTTTCACCATGAGAACAATAAGCCACTGGAACAATCTCTTCAAGGAAGTGGTGGATTCCCCACTGTTGGACACGGATTTAAGATTCATCGGGACAGGGTGCTGGGACATCTAGTGTAGGTCATGCTTTGCCTAGAAAGGCTGGAGCAGGTGATCCCTATGATTTTAGGATTCCTGATCCTGAAGCAAGCTGCAGTTCAGTTCTTCTTGCTGGCTCAGGTCCAGGCTAAGAAGCAGTCCCTGTCATGACACTTGCAACTCCCCATCTTCTGAAAGAGCAGGCGATTGCCTCCGTTCCCCATCCCATGTCCACCACAAACCGTTTCGCTGTGTTTTTTCTCCCAAATCACCAATTCCCATCGCTTCAGATCTGGCTGCAAGCTTAGCTCCATCAGAGGTCCCATTTCCTTGGGGCTGTCAGGCAGACATCAGGCACCAAAAATAGGTATTTTTGACTTGCTGAAGGAACGGGAGGTTGGAAGGTGTTTTATGCTCTCCTGCCTGAAATAACCACTGGTGATCCCCACCCCAGGAGCTCCTGTACTGTTGTTCACAGTTACTCATGCCAGAAATACCAGCCCTATGCGCTGCCGTTCGTTTTCTCATCTTAACCCCAAACTTGAATTCCAAATGTTATTACTTTGTACAAGGAAGATGGGTGATGACATCCAATAAAACTGGATTCCTGGCAAGTTAAACGATCCTAAGCTGGATCTCAGCCCGAGGGCTTTCATGCTGGGTAGGTTTTCTCTGTGCAAAGAGGTAAATACTGCAAGGATGCGTGGATACATCAGTCAAATGTTATGGTGAATCTGAACACAGCTAAGAAGGAATTACATAGTATGGAGAAGGAAAGCTTTCTTTGGGAATTCATCCCAGTGCTGTGAGGCATGGGAGCATCTCCTGCTTTATGTTTTCTTCTCCTTTGTCCAGTTTACTTTTACATTGCAAAACAATGGGGTTTCCATAGCATTTGCGTTGCAATGAAAGCGTATTAGTGTTTCCCCAACAAAGAAACCTTGTGTCATGTGAAGTCTTCCCCCTCCTGAGGCAGTTTTGTCACAGATGACTTGCATACCTTAAAACCACTGGCTTCTTGTCCTGCTCTTTCACAATCTTGGATAAATATTGAGCTGAGACACAGAAACCGGTTATACATGAATCCGTGCTAATCAATATCAAGATTATAGACTGACTTAAGACCATGAGATTTATAATAATAATAATAAACAACAACAACAACGAATTTTAGAGTAAATTCTTCTCTTTTTGTTCCCATTTCTCAGGCAGATGCGCAGACCATTCCCCAAAGGGTTTCTCTGCACCTCTAAACATGCCTTTTCGTGCTTGGAGCTGAAAGCCAAAGCCTTTACTTAATTTCCTGACCCCATGATGCTGGCACTTAGGCAAACCTCCATAGCTGGGCCACTTGTGATAAAGCTCCCTGTTGGCAGTGCCACATATCTTTGGGTGCAGAAGAGTGTTCACCTCTTTCTGTGAAGCCCTTTTTGACATCCCCAGAAGCACAGCTTCCAGAGTTAGGGCTTTTTCTGACCTTCCACCCCAGCAGATGGGTAGGAGTGGAATATGCTTTAATAGACATCCAGATACTGAAGCAGTCATGTTAAATATCCCTTTCTTTATTCCTGCAGCTGCTCATGATTCACAGTCTCGATCTGACACCCTCTCAGTAATTATCCCCTTTGCAGCAGAGACAAGAGGCAGATTCTGAGCCGACACAATCGAGCAAGGCAGCAGAAAATAATGTGAGTCCTTTCTGCTACCCCTTGGAAAGGGAGGTTTAGCCCCATAGAATCATGGAATCAACAGATCAGCTAGGCTGGAAAAGGTTTGGCAGTGTTCACGGCCAGGTTGGATGGGGCTTGGAGCAACCTGATCCAGTGGAAGGTGTCTCTGCCTGTGCCAGGGGTTGGAACCACATGAGCTTTAAGGTCCCTTCCAACCGAACCCTTCTGTGACTCTGTGACTCTTAAGACCATCACCGTGTTTCTGGATGAATCGGTGTTCCCAAGAAGTGGATTTTGTGCTGTTATTTTAACCACTATGGCAATTGCCAGCAACCAAGGCTGGCACAAAGGGAGGAGCTGCAGTCAGAAAGGAGGCTGGAGACCCTCAGGAGACAGCCCTGCTGAGTGAGAAGCAATACCCAGCACAGATGGCAGAGCTGTTATGATTCCAGTATCCAGTGATAACCACAGAGCCCTCAAAGGAAGCTTTCTGCACAGCATCCTCCCTCCCCTGTAGTGGCTGTGCTCTCCTGCTTGTATCTTTAGGCAAAAGGAGGTCCAACAAACATGCTGAGAGCATCCCTGTTGAGAACTGACAAAACTCCCTGTGTAAGTGGCAGGGTGCCTCTTGTGATAACTTAAGAGGAAACCTACAGCCCAGATCAGCCATCTAAAAAGACTTCACGCATCAAATGCTCGGATTCCCTCCTCACTGCCCAAGGCAAAAGGACCAGCACTGCTGATGGGACCAGCCAGATGAATTTCTTCTCCTCCTAACCCTCAGCACAATCATTGCAGCCTAAAACCAAAAGCCATTGAAGCCAGCCTGAATTTTTAAGTGGATTTCAGGCCATTCTGTTTCCCATAGATCTATCTTAGTTGCTGCCAAGGGAGCTCTGCTCCTGTCCTTACCACAGCCCTCACTCAACATGAAGACCCAACACACCTCAAGGAGCCCCAGTTTCCCAGTCACTGTTACCCCACAGCAACGTGCCATGGGCTATTTTTGCAGTGTATTATGGGTGCTGGTGCAATAAACAGAGCATCACTTCCCTCCTCTCCATCCCAGGGACACTGTTATACTGGTGCAGCTCAGGTTTTTCCCTAGGCTGTCTTGACTTGGCACTTAACACCGAAACATGCTGATTGGGAGAAAGTGTGTGCGTGTAGGTGTGTGGGGAGGGGGGAAATGTGATCTGTTATTGAGAACCTTGCACAGGGATAGAAAGAACTGCCTCTCTGATGCTGGCAAGATTAATAATGTGCACCAACACATTCATTCATTGCACTCGAGTTTCATGGCTTTTAGCTGGTGTGTAATGCAGAGTCATCGCAAAGGGAGGTGAAGCTGGGCTGAGGGACACGAAGAGTCTCATTGCACTGACCCAGAAGCTAAAATCAGGACAAGAAGCCTTTAGTGGGGACAACACTCAAAGCAAGGGCTGAGCCAGCTAACCCAGGCTTCCCACCAGGTCTCCTCTAGGTGACCTTGCAACAAGAAGTCAGCCCATCTTTAGCCAAAGGCATCAAGAAAACCACCTTTGGACAGTCCCTTTTGGGAGTGAAGGGTGGTTTTACCACCCCTGGGCCCATGATGGTTCATGGTTTAGCTGGTGCAAGGAGGAGGATCCAGTGCAAAACCCTGAGCTTATTTTTAGCCCCCTCCTAGCTGCAGTGAGTGCTCCTTGCCTGAACACAGATAAAGAACTTCCAGCACCCTTCTCTCTTGCCACAAAGAATGCAATGATGTGAGGATAATCTTGTCCTTAGTCCTTTGGGCATGTTGTTTCCTTCAAGCCATTCCCAAACTTTTCCTGGAAAACATCTTAGGCAAATGCACATTAATTTATTTAAATGGTATTTAAAAGCAGGGTGAGAATTGCAAATCAAAGCCATCTGAAAATCCCAAATCCACCCCCAAATGTCCATCCTGATAAAAATCCCAAATTTCCTCCACGCCGGTGGGAGCCCCAAGCTGATCCCCGAGTCCCCATCCAGATGAAAATCCCAGATCCTTACCCATGTGAGTGGGAATCCACAATCAACTTAGAAACCCCCATCTCGATGATAACTCCCAATCCCTCTCAAGTCCCAACTCTGTTCGAAACCCCAAATCCCCCACAAATGCAGGTGGGAATTCCAACCGCCCCAAACCCTCAGCCCAATAAAAATCCAAAATCCAACCTCAACGAGATCCCCAAATCCACCATCCCATTCCAGGGGGGGAATTCCATGGAGGAATCACATCCCCCCGCCCCCCCCCCCCCCAAAAACAAACCCAAACCTCCTACCCTGGTTAAACCCCCAGACTCCCCCATGCAGTTGAGAACCCCCCACCCTCCAAATCCCCATCCTGATGAACATCCCAAGTCCCCACACACAGTTAAGAACCCCAAATCTCCCTTAAATCCTCATCCCAATGAGCATCCCAAATCCCCCCCCCCCCAAATCCCACATCCCAACGAAACTCCCAAAATCCCTCCAAACCTCCTACCCTGATGAAAACCCTAGAAAACCCAGGACCCACCCCAACAAAACCTCTAAATCCCCCCCCTCAAGTCCCCATCCCAACGAAACCCCTTAAACCCCCATCCTCCCCATGCACTTGAGTACCCCAAATCCCCCCCCCCCAAACCTCATCCCATGAGGGATGCGCGTTCCCCTTGGTGCCCCCTCAACCTCTCACCCTCCCTCCATCTCCCCCCTTTCTCCCGTGGGGCGGAGGCTGGGGCGGGCCGGGGCCGCGTTGTCCCTCCCCCGACAGCGGGAGAAGGCGAATGGGGCGGGGAGGGGGGACCGGGACCGGGGCCGGGGGAGGGCAGAGCCCGCCCGCCCCGCTGGGATTGAGCCGGGAGCCGCGCTGGGGACGGCACCGAAGCACGATGCGGGCACCGCTGCTGCTGCCGCTGCTGCTGCTCGGTAAGTGCCGCCCGGACCCCCCTCCGACATCCCTCGCCTCTTCGCCTTCCCCTCTTTCCCCCTTTACTACTCGGTAGTTGGGAGCAAATAGGGTGGAAAGGTGGAAAAGACGCTCCATACACACCCGCTTTGTGAATCCAGGCTTATTTACCTGCTTATTTACAAACTAAGCGCATCGAGCAGTCCGCAGCAGCTCAACTTGAGCCTCAAGAGCCGCAGTGCTTCGGTTCTTTACGCAGCGGTGTGAGCTAAACACGCCGCTTCTTCGCTCCTTCATCCGGCTTCACAAAGCCGCTGGGCAGGGGTCGATGTGCAAAGTGCTTTTGGGGTCCTATGGAGCAAAAAGGGTGGGGGGATCTTTGGTTGGGTTTGATGCGTCCACTTTTGTGTGGTCCGGTGTGCCAAGTGCTGTGTGTATTGAGTGTGAGCTCTCACCCCTGATAGCGTGGGAAAAGAAGAGGGGGAAAGCTGGTGGGAAACAGCAATTCCCTGTTGGAAGTTGATGGTGGAATTGGGAAAAGGATAAACTTCTGGAGACCCTTCGGTGTGGGGTGGATGGGGACCCATGCAGGATGCGTCATGCCGGGGATGTTTGGGAATGGCGTTGGAAGCAGTGTGTGGGGTCCTGTGATAGTGCTGGGGTTAAGGGAGCTGCAGGTGATAAGGGTCTTGTTCTCTGGTGGGGTGTTGCATTGGAGAGATTACCATAAACTGTGCCAAAAAGGAGCAGGGAAAGGGAATGCAGTGATTGTTTCCAAAGTGAATAAAGGTAGGGAGGAGAGGGGTATTTCTTTTCTATATCCAGGGAAGATGAGGGAGGGGGGAAATAGGGAATAAAATAGGATGGTATAAAATAAGATGGAGTAAAATAGGATCTATGTTTCTATGAAGTGAAATAGGATGGAGTAAAATGGAATGGATAGCGTAGGATGGAGTAAAATGAAATGGATAGCATAGGATGAAATGAAGTAGGATGGAATAGAGTGGGATGGAACAGAATAGGATGGACTAGAATGGGACGGAATAGAATAGGATGAGATGGAACAGAATAGGATGGAATAGAATAGGAAAAACTATAATGTAATGGAATAGAATAGAGTAGAATAGAATCACTGCCTGTCTGGTTTGTTCCTGCTCCTCCCAATGCCAGGGCATGGTGGAAGAGCAGGTGGGAAGTGCCCATCTCTCCCTGATGTCAACTTGGGCTTTAAAAGAGAAGGTTTCTGTTTGTATTAAAACTTAGGAAGCCTCAACCTCATCAGTGTTGGCATAAAGTAGGGGCTGCTAATGCAATTTTGCATGTGCTGGCCAAAATTTAGCTGAGTTTAGCTGACTTTGCCTTCTCAGATGGTTTTGTTCTTCAAAATAGGCTGGAATTGGTACGAAACAGGCTTTAAGCAGGAGGGTGGTGGTGGGACCTGCTTCTGTAGCACTCCCAAATGATCCTATTACATTTTTCTTGGAAATTAATGTATTAAATCCTTTGAAACAGTGTTTTCTGCCACGTGTTGCTGCTCTGAGGTTTCAAACCAAGCTCCTTAGAGGTGCTTTTTTGCTCCCTGGCTATTGGCGACAGGGTTTTCTTCCTTAGAGACCCAAAATAGGCACCCCTTTTTGCTGGGTGGTAAGGGTTGGAGTCCAGCAGTGTTTAACTGTAGGGCTGGTATCTGCTGCAGTCGTCTGAGCTACTCAAAACCTAAAATTCACCTGCTAAAATGGGGAGAAGCTGGGTTTGCAAGTGGAACTGTAAGATTTGGGGTATCTTAATAGTAATTGGCATGGAGTCCTCATGATTTGGATGTGAAATGGGTGCGTGAGCAGGGAGCTGGGATTTCGGAGCGTGGTTTTGGGTATCATGGGGAAGAAGGTAACAACAGAGCAGCCTCAACAGAAGGCTGCTAAAGTTCTTAAGAGCAGGTATTTGGGGTACAGCTACTTCACTAGAAACACCAGCTCCCAGGTTTGTACCTGCAGAGGTTCTCCCTTTATTTCCCTGCTGTGAATCAGAATGGAACCAGGCTCAGAGAAGTCACAGCCGGTGTGTACGAGAGGCAGCAAACATGATATCGGGCAAATAACATCTTTAAATTCATCCATTACAGCGTGTTCACAGGACGTTTGATCCTATTTGTTCTTTCTCCATACATCATCTTCTCTCCCACACAGGGTATTTTGGCCAAATTGCATCAGCAAGAGGAAAAAGGATACCTTTTATTCTCAGGGGGTTAAAAAGAGCCACAGCTCCAACCTGTCCTGGGGGCAGAAAAAGGCAGGATGGGGGTTTAACCAGAGCTCAACCCTTTGCCCAGCTCAAAGCAAACAGATTGATGGGGTTTAAATCCTTGTTGCCAAAACACTCCTTTTCATTCCCAAAGCTGTGCTGGCTCCGGGGTACTGGGAGTTGTGTTTGTCCAAGACACGCTGTCAAAGATGTGCATTTTTAAACCCCATTTTATCCACTGAATACTAATCTTGACACGGGCAGGGGAAGGCAATTGGGGCCATGCCTGCAGGAGGAGAAAAACCATTGTTAACCAGAGGGTTTTAAAATCAGCATCGAAGCAGAGCATATCTCCTTATGGATTTGCTGTTGGAGGAACTTCGATAAGGCTTTTGCAACCTTTTTGTGAGCTGTTTTAGCAGTGCAGCGCTTTGATTTTCCCCAGTGGTGAAGCAGACACAGTAACCATACCCCGGGGTCTGTTTAAAAGGCTTAATTAAAGAATTGTTTGTAAAGCACTTGAAGATCCTGGGATGAAAGGAGCTGGAACCATGCAAGACACTGATTTAATTCCGGAGAGTTGCTTTAAAGGCTTATGAGGAGGAGGATGGTGATCATTCATGTTGTCATTGATGGGAGACTGGCTGGAAATATCTGCTCTCAGCATTTGCAGGGAGGCTGGGGTTGTGCTTGGGTTATTATTTGCCCTGTAAATCATGCATTTTCTCTTCCCATCTGCACCCTCTGAAAGACCTAAGCCTGTTGACATGAGTTCTGGGATGCTTTGGGGTTCAGGCAGTGGAAACTGATTGGAGGTTGATTATAGCCAGCGAGGGTCCCTCAGGCTGTGCAATAGCCCTCCTGTGTTATTCTGGGTGTTATATCGCTGTACAAGGGCTGAGAGGAGATGTTTGGGGTTAGGTGCAGGACCCCATTCATCCCACCTGCTCATGCCTGCCCTGAATTTTGCCCCTTCTCCGTGATAGTGGCTGGGTGACCCCTTTGCCCCTTCTCTAAGGACCCACTGCAGCAGCCAGAGCCCTGTGATGCTCGCCTGGGCCAGGAAGGATGAGGCAAATGCAGCTTCATCCTTATAGGGTGATGCTCTGGGGAGATGAGATCTTGCTGTAAAATCCCAGATTGGTTTGGGTCGGAAGGGAGCTTAAAGCTCACCCAGTTCCAACCCCTGACACGGGCAGGGACACCTTCCACTAGGGCAGCTTGCTCCTGTGTCCAACCTGGCCTTGAACACTGCCAGGGATGGGGCAGCCACAGCTTCTCTGGGCACCCTGTGCCAGCGCCTCAGCATCCTCACAGGGAAGAACTGCTGCCTAATATATAGCCTAAATCTGACCTTTTTCATCACATCCAGCTGAACTGCTCTGTGCTTCTCTAGCCCCGAGCCCGGTTGCATTCAGTAACTACATCTCCAAGTGGTCCAAGCAGTAGCAGGACCAAGCACGTAGTGAACAACGCACCCATGGGGGCACAAAAATCCTTCCTTTCCTCCTGTTGATCTGATGGGGAACGAACACATGGGCAGAAACATGCAGCCTGAGCATCCACCTCACCTTCAGTCTTGTTCCACAGCCAACCTCAACGTCACGAGAGGGCTTGCCCTTTGCAGGAATCCAGGTAGCCCAGTTTGGTCCATTCCCCGTGTGCAGGCATGTGAGATCTCACAACCCATCTGAAGCCTTTTCACATACTTCTGCCAACTTCCTTCTCGAAAGCCTGTTGACGTGCACAGCTTCTCCCATAACTGGCCAACCTCCACCTAAGGATGTTGTTTTGGAATTCTTGCAATGCCTGCCCTTTCCTTCACAGAGAACTGACCCAGCCTGGCTTTTTTTTACTTCTAAACCATGCAGTCATCTGGCATTTGTGGTTCTCCAGCTACCTGGGCTCAGCTCACCACTAACCCCGGTGCTTTGATGCATTGTCCACATTGCAGAGATGCAGTGGTCTTGGGATTGCAAATTCACTCTTCAACCCACAACTCCTTGTCCTACCACTACAACCCCTGATGAAGAGACTTGTAGCTTGTGAGGCAACCAAGCTCAAAACTAATTCTGCATGGGGGCCTTGCAGGTCCTGCTGCACAATGGGGTTGGGGGATGCACAACCCATCTCCCCCAAAACCTTTTCCACATGCCGTTGGGGCTTAACCTTAAAAAAGAGCCCATCTTTTCCCCCAAACTTCCTGGTGTGGTGGTGTCCCACACCACGGGGTGAGGTGCTTTCTCCTGCTGCTTCTTCATTCTTTGGGAGGGATGGGGACAGCTCATCTGTGCTTTGGTAGGTGCCAACAGCTCTAACTGCATGTTTGTGTGTTGTAGGCTGGGCTGAAGCCTTGTGGTGCTTTGCTCAGGAGGTCCTTGAGGAATATGGAGATCCAATTAAAACAGAGTAGAGGCAGGAGGGATGTGCTCTGCCCATGCCACAGCTCCAGTTTCAAGGTGTCTAAGCATTGGGATTAGCTTTTACCTGGAAATGTGTTACTTTTGAGCTTAACAGTCCTGGTTGAGAAGGTAGACAGAGCAGAGGAGGCAAAGTTGATCTTCCTTATTACTGTACTTAAATCATATATGATATGCTATGAACCAAAGAGCTGAAATGCTGTTTAAAGGACTGGCTGTGCCACAGTTTCTCTCTCTATTTTCCATGCATCTGTTTATACTGTGCGCTGTTTGGTGGAGAGACCATGTGGTGAGTGTCTAGGGATGGGGAGATGCTCTCAGTTGGGATCTCTGGGACTGCTGCAGTGCAAATAGCATCA